TATATATATATTTTTCTAAATACAACTACAAGCAACCATCTATTTTAAATACACCATAAATAAAGTATTGTCAGTAGATGTCTTCATCTTAGACTATGTACTCTTCAACAGTCTGAAGAGAAAGGAGATGTTTGCCTTCTCCTACCTTATCTTTTGGGAAATGGGTTATTAGACATTTTCATATTTTCAATCTGTTTTTGAACGTAAGATACTGGATAGAAATCTTTTCACTTTCTTTTCACTGGTTGTTACGTATGTGTTCTGATTTGTCAGCAGCATGTAGTGCAATGATATGTGTCACCAAGAACACCTTGAGATACAAGCTTCATTTTTAGTGTTAGGATGCAGCATCACTGGTGATGAGATATTTGGAAAGGCAGGTTTTGATCCTGTACATTACCTGTTAAAAAGTTGGAGCCAAGCAGTTATTTTGTAAGTTTTGATTCTGTAGCTGTGGTTCAGGTCTGCTTCTGCTTATTTCCTGGTTTGTTTTGTAAATGCTTTGAGTTTCCTTTAACCACCATCATGGTTGTCCATAGATGAGCTGATTAGACTTATGTAACGCCTATTGAAATAATCACAAAAGGAGTCTTTGGACAGTATTTCATTCAACTGAATAGAGCAAGCATGTCCACAGACTATCACAAGTTTTTATTGATTTAATAAACTTAAACTTATATTTTTGAATTAATTTCGTTTCTGTCTTGAGAAGTGTACTTCCATTTTATAAAAAACACCTCCAATAATTCAATGGGAGAATTAAGTAAGTGATAAATATATAGACTAAAGGAAGGTAATAGAAGCAGTCCTTTCATTAGGATTAAAGGGAAATAGACTATCATTAATTACTTTTGAGCTTATTCCCCTCAAGTACAAAGATTTTTTTTTAATCTGTGTTGGTCCAAGAGATCCCCAGAAAATTAAGTTCTGATGAATTATTTTGGGTAAGAGAAATTGCTGAGCTACTTATATTGTTAAAACCATTCTGTGTTTCAAGAAAAAAAGTTTATGTCTTAAGTACAAGAGAAACCAACTGTTGAGTCTTTTTTTTTTTTTTTAATTTTTTTTAAATTAATTTTTTAAAGTTTTTAAAATTGATTCAAGGTTCTAAATTATTTTCTTTAATGGTGGTATCTTGAGAGTTACATAGATCTCATCCTCAGCCTTTCCTTTGTTAAGCTGAAGATGATGTACTCTTTCACTTTGTTCTTCATATTTCCTTGACTGTTGTGTCGACCAATAACCCCAGATCTGTTTTCTCTACACTATCTACACCATCTTCCAGCAACTCTGCTCCAAGCTTGTAGCATTGCCTGAGGGTGTTATGGCTAAAGCAAGGGACTTGGAACTTGGTCTTGTTGAACTGCATCCCATTGGCCTCAGCCCGGCTATCCATCCTGTCCACATCCATGTGCAGGGCCTTCCTACCCCAGGCAGATTGGCACATCCTCCTAGCTTGGTGTCATCTGCAAACTTATTGAGGGTGTACTCAATCCCCTTATTCAGGTCATCATTAAAGATTTGAACAGGACAGGCCCCAATACTGACCCCTGGGGAACACCACTCATGACTGGTTGCCACCTGGATTTCACTTGATTCACCACTGCTCTCTGGGCCATCTGTCCAGCCAGTTCTTTACCCGGCAAGGAGTGTATGTGTTCAAGCCACGGGCTGCCAGCTTCTCCAGGAGAATACTCTGGGAAACAGTGCTGAAGGCTTTGCTGAAATCTAGGTAGACTATGTCAACAGCATTGCCCTCATCCACCAGGAAAGTGTCTTAATCATAGAAGGAGATCAGATTGGTCAAGCAGGACCTGACTTTCATGAACCCATGCTTGCTAGGATGGATCTTCTGATTGTCCCTCACATGTCATGTAATCTCCCTCAAGATGATCTACTCTATAACCTTTCCTGGCACCAAAGTCACACCGTCAGGCTTGTAGTTCTCCAGATCTTCCTTGTGACCCTTCTTGTAGATCAGAGTAACTCTGGGAAGTTTCCAGTCGTCTAGCACCTCTCCAATTGACCAGGAATGCTGATAGACGATGGAAAGCGACTTGGTAATCATTTCCACCAGCTCCCTCACCACCCTTGGGTGGATCCTATTCAGCCCCATGGACTTGGGACTACCCTCCAGTCCAGGTGGAGTAGTAGGTCTCTAACATTCTGATTCCTGAATCATTAGGAATTTATTCGGCTTCCCATCTGAGACTTCTAGGTCAGGGGTTAGGGTGCCCTGAGGATAACTGATCTGACTTTTAAAGACAGATAAAAAGAAGGCATCGGGAACCTCAGTCTTATCCTTATATCTTCAGCAGTCACGTTCCCTATTGTATCCAGATAAGGATGGAGACTCTCCTCAGTCCCTTTCTTACTGCTAATATATTTGTAAAGAAGTTTTTTTTGTTTTTGTTTTTGTTTTTCCCCTCTTTTGTCTCAAGGGCCAAGTTAAGTTCAGGCTGGGCTTTTGCCTTTCTAATTTTCTCCCTATGCATCTTAACAACTTCTTTGTACTCTCCTCGAGTTGCCTGTCCCTTCTTCCACAGCATTCTCTTTTTCTTCTGGAGCCTCAGGAAAGGTTTCCGGTTCCTCCACACCAGTCTTCTTCCCTTCCCACTCACCTTGCAGTACATGGGGACAGCTTGCCTCCTGCACCTGTAAGACTTCCTTCTTACAGAGCATCCAGCCTTCCTGGATCCTGTTACCATACAGGACTATTTCCTTTGCTTCATTCCATGTTGCTAGCCTCTGTATCTTGTCTAGGTGGCTTGTGGGGACTTGAAAGAGGTTGTCAGTAACTCACAGGCTGTACTTCCTGTGGTTGTACTTCCTTAGATAGGTGCAAGCAGCTACTGATATGAATAGTTTGCAGAACTGAGTGTTAGCACAGAAATGAATAACATAATGTTTAGTAATGATGTATTGCTATTTCTTTTAATTTACTTTTGGAAATGAAAATATTACCGTAGGAGAAGTGGGGAAAGCTATTTTCCTTGTCTTCTATTGCTGAATCACTCTGGTCTATTTTTTGAAGGATCGTTTGTCTCTTTGTGTATGTATTTATATCCTGTGCACATAATTTAGTAATTTTCTTTTGTTTGAAAGTGAACTCATGAACTATTCTAGAAGAACTCTAGAAGTAGCATCTTCCAAGAATATTCACAGTGTTTCAAGTGGCACCTGCACTATCACTGGCACTCAAAAGATAATATCAGGGTAGGTTAGGCCTGTTGGATGACTCTTGGAGAATATAAAAAGCATCAAATCTATCCTGATTTGGTACTTTAAAGCCTCATAGGACTTCTCTGACTAGCATCTACTACTGAAGATAGCTTCACCAGTCAGGAACTTTGCACATCTAAGCACAGGTCACCACAAACCTCCTAGAAATGCATGACAAAACAAGGTGCTGTTCCCTGTAGGCGAAGTGTTCTTATGTTGAGACAGTGGCTGGTTGTATACAGTGAAACAATTAGAAATTATTAGAAGACAGTTTCTCTTTATATAGGGAAACTTGATATTCATGGATGAGACTAGTTTGTTATTCTCAGTGCCATAATGGGGACAACTCTAAGCCAAACTCGATTAACTGTAAGTCACTCAAAAAATCAATTACTACAACTGTATTAAAATAATTCTAAATGAACAGAATAGAATCTGGGTGAATTAATTTAGGACCACTTACATCTTGTTTCAGCATCTGCTTATATTTCAAAATAAAATAAGGACATTCACATTAATTTGAAAAACATGAGATCTATTTGGGTCAATACAGTTAAATCCGGGGTGATTTCCCCACCCTTCCCCCACATTTTATTTGTTTGTAAAGTTTAACCAGTAGCAATGTATTTTAGTATGTGTTGAGATGATATTCTTGTGTGTTTAAGAATATGGGCTGTGTCACAAAAGGACTTTGTCTCAATGCTACTAATTTTTTGGTGGGTCAAACTTTCTCAGTTTGTAAGTTGCACTATTTCTTCTTAATTCTGTGGTAAGATTTTTTCTTTGCAAAGAGTTGTTGCTACAATAATAGCAAAAATAACTATAAATATAAATAAATATAAGTAACAATCTATTTCACTTTACACTTGCATCAAATATGTGTTTTAATAAAAAATGTAGCTATTGCTGTATAGTCTTAACTGTTTAAAAATTACTGTGGAGGGTACTGTACATTTGTTAGCCTGAAAGGTCTCTAGTATCAGAAATAAAAACATGCATGATTGCTTTGTTTGATAGCAAAACACATTTATACTGTCATAATACTGGCACATTTTCAAAGCATGCTGTTTTCTGGCTGCTAGCAGGGAGCAATGGAAACAATGCAGTAATCATGCAATTTCTTGAAAATAAACACCAAAATGGTTAAGCAAGCAATGTTTTTAATTTAATAGGGACTCAGATAAGTCTGCATTAAACAGCTGTTTCAGTACCACAGAGATATTTTAATGCCTTGCTGCCTGTAAATTGTTTGTAATTTATTTCTGGTAATTTTCCTTTGGATCAGACTGAGGCTTCTTCTGAATGGTGATATTGCTTGTTGAGGAGTGGTCATGCGAGCAAAATTTGATAACCTCGATATGTCACTTCATCTGCTGCTTTTCTTTTGTTAATGCAAAGCTGGTTGCATAATATCTAATTTCTCCTTTAGCTGACCACAGATGAAAACAATCTATAATGGCAGTGCTGGGTTTTATAAAAAACGCAAGTGAGGAGTTGAAGGATGTGGCTTGTTCTGTTTGGATGATGCAGGATTGCTTTAAGCAGTAAGCTTACTGTTTTCAGATGGCATTAGCAGCATCAGTGATATAGCTGTGTCAGCCTCCTTGTCTACTGGATGTCTGTAACTGCACGGAGGAAACTATATTTAAGATCTGATATCTGGAGGGTAATGACTCCTGCACTTACTGATGGACAGAATGGCTGTTAGTGCTTTCTTCGCTAGCCCAGAAGATTCTGAGAGATAGATGAATCTGTGATGCACTTCTGTAAGACAGGAGATGCAATTTTTGGGGGTCTCTGGAAATAGAAAGGTCATGCAGCTTGGAACCGGTGAGACATTACAATCTTTAAGTCATCAGGTATGACCTCATAGTTTATACTAATATTTCTAATGTAAAGGTTTGTTTTACTGTTTTAGGTCATTTATGATCTCTTTGTCTCCGTAATTGCTTCATGTTGGATTTGCTGCAGGATTTATAGGGTAGACTGTTTACATAAGTAAAGCAACATATATCTTGCAAATATAATGTGTTGTGAATTGCTATTTGAACAGCGTAACATTATTCTGTATATATCTTTTCAACCTGCTTTTATTGTGAAAATGATTTTATTTAACTAACTCAAGGTAGAAGGTTATACCCTTGCTGTAATGCAATAAGGCAAGGTTGTGTTGCATTTTTAGTTTGCTTTGTCTTTACATGGCAGCACAGTTCTATTGTGTGTGTGTTTATCTGTCATATGAAGCACAGTATAAGGCAATTCTACCTACAGTGGCAGGTTATTTAAAAGAACGTAGCACATTGTGTAACAGGACAGAGCTATTCTGCAGGCACAAATCTTCATTTTGCAGTAGCAGTTTTTTTTTTTTTTTTTTTTTTTTTTTCTTCCCCGTTCATCTCAAATCAGATTTTAAAATATCTCCCTGGACATAGCAGTAAAAGTTTGGCAAGGTAATGCTCCCCCTTTTAATTATTATGCTCAGTGATGCATACTAATACTAATGGGCTGTAAAATGGGAGATTAATAGCTTACATATTTAGAATGTTTAAAACTAAATTCATTTTACTGAATCGTGTCTCATCCTTTTTTGTTTTTAATTGTTGCCAACTTTATTGCAAGGCTGGTACTTTGGAATCTGCAAATGTATTGTGGTGACATAAGAAAGTCCGAGTACATAAAAGAAAACAAATATATGGGTATTTTACATAGGAAGATAGTGGCCTAATTTCTTTTAGGGGCACAGAGTGTTATTAGTTATACTGTTACTACATTAGGTATTACAAAGGGTAGATAATAGCTGTTGAAGAGTTCCTATTTTGTTTCCCTTGAACACAGCATACAGCAGTTATATAGGAGAAGTTTTATTTTCAAAAATTATGATCAGCTCCATCTTAAGAAATTCTAGATGTATTTGCAGCACATTTCCATGGCAACATATTTGACCATGTGTTTTAAGAGCTCAGCTGAAGCCTGAAAGTGCAATTTTTCTGCTGTTTGCTTTATTCATGTGAAACAGTGGTCTTCATGTGTATCTATTTAGAATGCAAATGGGCAGGGGTGAGTGGTATTTCCTGACCCCAAAGCACAAGATTTAAGTAATCAAGGTTTGAAGATATTTTCATATTTCCACGTAGAAATGTAAACACGCAAAACATGGTTTTGATTTTGGATTTAGAGCTGTATTCCAGTTCCACCCCCAGCATTTTGTTGGAAATGAATGTGTGGGAGACCACAGAAGACCAAACGTGCAGCAAATTGCTTCAGTAAAATGGCTGTCTTTTCAATTTTAATTAAGAATGTATTTCTAAAAAATGTTATACTCCTCTCACTGTCCATAATTTATAGTTTACCAGTCTACTTATCCAGGTTACATTCTTATTAATAACAGGGAAAGGCTGTCCTACTCTTAAGCTTGATTAGGTCTGGAGTGATTTCACTATACCTTTCACTTAATACAAGATCTTTTTAATCTGTTAGAATTTATTTCAGTATTTTAATGTATTAGTGAGTACATTCTGTTTCTTGGCATTGGAATGAAATTCCTGAAAGTATTGGTTTCATGGTATTTTGGTGCTTTGTGAGGTATTTACAGCCTTTTTAATAGAACCAACCCTCCCCCCACAGTGTCTTTGCCTTACTTATTCAAGTATTATTTAAAATCCTGACTTACCTGTGTTTCTAAGTTCTTCCTGAAGTCTTCTTTGCTCATTTAAAATAATTGGATCTCTGTGGAATTTTGCAATATTGGAAACTATAGTGGTATGCCATGTGCTTACCCTGGACTATGTTTTATCATTTGTATCAATTCTGCAAACTGTATTCTGTGGACAATAATTTCCAAAGAATGCAGTAGACATCTGCTATGGTGTATTTAGGATAGAAACTGTATGTATAGAGAAGGACAAATTAAAAATTGGTGAAGAATGTTTCCTTCAGGAAGTATATGTTTAGGCCATTCCATTTTGAAGCAACAATATTGCTGACCACCTTAGATAAGTTTGTTGTTTCACTCAAGGGATGTATTTCCATTATATGTGCATCTTCATTTGTGGGACTATACTGTAATCATAGAATCATTTGAATTGGAAGGAACCATTAAAGGTTCATCTAGTCTAATTCTCCTGCAATGAACAGGGGCATCTGTACCTAGATTAGGTTGCTGAGAACCTGGTCCAGTCTGAACCTAAGCTTTTCCAGGGACAGGAAACATACCACCTCTCTGGGCAACCTGTTCTAGTGCTAACCTTATTGTAAAAACATTTTTTACTATATAAAATCAAAATCTCCCCTCCTTTATACAGAATCCACTTCACTTTGTTCTGTCAGAACAGACCCTGCTGAAGTGTCTGTTCTTTCTTATAGGCTCCTTTAGATATTAAAAGGCTGCTTGCAGGTCTTCCTGGAGGCTTCCCTTCTCTGGGCTGAACAGCCCCAGTTCACTGCTCGTGAGTAGTGTATTAATGAGGAGAAGTTCTTACAAGATGAGTAATGGAAGCAAGGTAGAGATACACACAAAAGAAGGGAAGTGATCTGAAAATTTATAAGTGTAGAAACTGCTGGAAACGGACTAGATGATCTTGGAGGTCTTTTCCAACCATGGTGATTCTATGATTCTATTTTAAGTTCTGCCAAAAAGCTGACAAACAAACCCAACCTCAAAAAACAAAAACAAAAAAAAACCCACAACAACAAACCCAACCCCAAAATTTTAAATGTGTACAATCTGTTCTGTTTTTATTGCTTTCTTTTAAAAAATGTTTTAACTAAAAATATATTAAAAACTTTAGTTACTTACATACAATAACTGTATTACAGATTTTATATGTGGCCCAAGACGATTCCTCTTCATTCAGAGCTGCCTAGGCAAGCCAGAAGGTTGGATACCCATGGTTTAAACTGTACTTACTGATATTTGGAAAAACTGTTCAAATCCATAGTCAGTGAGTCCAAACACAGTGTGTTGGTATCACTTAAGTTTAAAACTATACCTCCCCTCCTCAGATCAAGTTGACTGCACCTTTCAGTGTATGACGATTACTGTCTTAAAAGCAAAATCAGTAACTGAAGAGATAGTTTCCCTTGATCATGAATAAAGAACACACTTCTTTAGTGTAGTGTATGTTTCCCAGTCTTTAAGCATTTTTTTTTTTACAGAACTCAGTGAAGATCTTAGGAAGAAACAAGGCTCTCAATGGGTTTAAGCACCTGTATTAACTAGCCAATTGGATGAGAAGCCAAATATTTGTGTCATTTATGAATTCTAAACATGAATGTTCACACGCATGTACGTGGCTTATATATGTGCCTGTGCTTCTACCTATTTCTGGTTGCCATTCTAATTCCACACTAATGACTTTTCTCACACCTTACAATGCAAGTTCTTAAGGAAATGGTAGATAGTGGCCAAGCTTTCAGAAATTGCAAAAGAAAGTTAGAAGCATGAAGTGCTTTCAGGACGAATTGAAGGGATTCTGTTTCTTTTGTCCTAGATCACTTTCCCTCCCAGAAGATGTTCTGTTCTCTGGTCAGATTCTTCTTATTTAGTACTGGAATTTATGTATGTGGGCCTAATGACCTGAATGAGGGTGGGTTTATAATAAACATGCCAGAAAGACCTAGGCAGGAAGTAACTTAAAATAAATGTGCAACAGCTAACTGCAGAGTAACAAAATACGCAGCTAAGCAACTCTTTATCGGTTTGTGTTCCAAGAGTGTCACTATGTGATCAATCTGAGTGAAAACTATTTGAAGGAATTTATAAGTACATGAAAATGTGAATATATCAAAACAGTAATGTCATAGTAATCTATGAAATAGTCTCAACCAGTTGCCGTAGATGTAGGGCCTCATAAGAGGGAGTAGTAAGGAAGGTGACCAGGCTGATACAGAAAAAGAGAACGGTTATGCATATTAGGATGGCATTTTGGAGAAGAATCAACTACAGTCAGTCAGTCTGTCTGTCTCATCCCCCCTCTCTGCTCTGATATTGATAATAGGAGTTGTTAATACTGTTCTTTTTTTCTTGCAAGACTGTATTTATTTTGCTTTACTTAGACTATTGATATAAGTTATTAATAATAATAAAAAAACACAAAACACCAAAAACATTAACATAAATGCTGTTTCACTACTGTGATCAGGCTTCATGATAATTAAACTAATAATAGGTGCTGTTCTGCAATTCTGGTAAATTTTGATCGATCAATTTGTAAAGATCAATATAAACTACAGAATAAGCTATATAAAGCTTTCCATTGTGCCATACTGATTTCACTGCGAACGTAGAAGGAAAGCCCTAGTGTTCTTGAATCTATTGTAAACTGTAGATATTACAAGATTTTGAGTGATTACAAGGTTTTTCTGTGTTAGTAAGGGAACTCTGGCCAAAAGAAATAAAATAGATACCCCAAATCAAGTAGAAAATAACAATGTATCCTGGCTTGCTGCTCTGTCTTTGATATAGAGACAAGACACTCCAGAGAATGAGTCTTGGTACAAGTGACAATCTTTTACCATTTTAGACTTGGAGACTAGAAGTGTAAATATATTAAATCAGGAAAAGATTATAATGATTGCAAGACTGAAGAATTTCTGTGTTCGGAAGGAACACCTGAAGGTCATCAAGCTCCCTGGAGCTGAGGAGATTGGAGTCCACCTTCCTCTGCCTAGAGCAGGGACAGCTAGACCACGTTGCTCAGCACTGTGTCTTATCAGGTTTTAAATATCTCCAAGAATAAAGGCTCTGGGTAGCATGTTCCAGTGTTTGACAAATCTCATTTTTTTTCTAGTGTTGAAATGGAATTTCTCATATTTCTGTTAGTGATTATTTCCCCTTGCTCTGTCACTGGTCGCCACTGAG